CTCCCGATGTCTATCCCAATACCGGCACTTCCGGTATCAGGAAGCCAGACGGCCAGTCATTACACGCTGCCCAGCTTCCTGATTGACCGGAAAGCCTGCTCTGTATTCCCTGGTGAAGAGGGAGCATTGAGCAGGCTTCCCGGCCAATCAGGAAGCCGGAGGGCGGGTAATGACTCACCGCCCGGCTTCCTGATTGGCCAGAAAGCCGGCTCCATGCTTCCTCGTCACCCATCAGGAAGCGGGGTGGATTGGTCGGGAAGTTGGCCAATCAGGAAGCAAGGCGGCGAGTCATTAAACGCACCCCCTAGCTACCTGATTGGCCAAAAAGGTGACACCTGGTGACATGGTAGCATGGAGATGGCTTCCTGGCTAATCAGGAATCAGTGCGGCGACTCATTACACGCCGCCCGGCTTCCTTAATGCGACTTCCAGTGTCGGTATTGGCAAGTACCAAAAAAAATAAATCGGTACTCGTACTCGATACCAAAAAACCTGTATCTGTGCATCCCTACCAAATGCACACTTTACAGGCTTGCCCACAGTCCATGTAAGAGTGCTGTAGTAATTTGGTGGATGGGGCCTTCATACAATTCATACAATCATAAGGAATCTTCACCACCACAACATAGTATTGCGATAGTCTTTATGTAATTAAATAGCTTCATGATCAAGGTGTGCCAGTTGAAATTCTTATTGCCACATACTGTTGCCTGCAACAGTTAGGCTGGGTTCACACCTAGACGTATTGAATATGCATGTTTTTCATGCGTTTTTTTACCGCGATTAGCGGTAAAAAAAACGCTCGAAAAACGCGCGTTTCCGAGGGATACTTGGCTGTATCCCAATGGAACCGCCCGACCAAAACAAGTACATGTACTTCTTTGGGCGTAGGCGGTTTCCCGCACGTTCGTACTCGTGGAAAACCGCCCAGATGGGAACCATGCACATTGAAAATAATGGCATTTCACTGTTTGAGCGTTTTTCTGCGAGTACGAAAGCGCGGAAAAACGCCTAGGTGTGAACCCAGCCTTGGTGTTTCATCAGCCAACTGCAAATTTGCAGCTCTGAATATTAACATTCAAGTCAACAATAAAATATTTTGGTAAAGATTTAAAAAAAGTCTATGATCAAAGAAAGCCAATGAAAAATCTGTCAAACTTGAAAACGTTGGAGTTCAGTTTGGAGCTGAAAACACACGCGCCTCTCTTTCGTTATCAATAAAGAACAGATGCAGATATACAGTATCAAGCTTTGGTATCATCTGGGTCACAGACAAATGTTGCAGCATTCACGATTTGAGATCAAAGATTATCTGATGAAAAAAAATATGCTTATTGTTTCAATATGTTAAGGAGAAGCCAAAGAAGTATAATCAGGGAAAGATAAGTGGGGTGGAGGAATTAAGGAATACATTATTCTTAAAGCTGGACTCTAGGCAGCTAAATAGACAGCTGAAATATGGGAGCTGTTTTTAAACAGCCCTGTCAGCACAACCAGGTTGGCTACCTAAAGGGTTTCTTTATTGCAGATAATGTAGTACATCAAGGATGCCTTCCTATCCCCTGCCTGTGACTGAAACAATGAAGGGATAAAAGCAGACTGATGAGGTTATCTCTCCTTTCTTCTGTCAGCATATGTTGCAGAGGTTGATTGGCTCCTTCTGCTGGCCCTCCCTATTCCAGGCTGAGTGCTGCTGTACAACGCATTACAATAGGTCAATATCATGAGATCCAGATGTTTATACAAGTTACATTAAAATGTGTAATTATTTTTGTAATTAATACAGAACCAACTCAAATGGAGTTTTTACTGTATGAAGTAGTTTAGCTTTAAGCACACAGATGAGTAGCATTTGCTTCTCTCAAATAACCCACACTACCACACCAGCAATTTGATAGCTCTTGAACCCACCCCAAATGTCCATAAGCTGTTTCATTTCAACCCATTGTACCAAGAGTCTTCAAACATTATGGAAATCCGAATAACCCGCCAATCAATGTTGGTGCAGATAAACTGGATAAAACAATCCAGTTATCTGCCCCTCTAAATTGTATATTGTAAAACACTACATCTAATGTTCCCTGCATTAACAAAGTTTCATCGCTATCTGTCAGGTTACTGTACGTCTAGTGCAGGTATAACCTGATCTGTAAAGAGGGGCACACACCAGTTAGATTTTAAGTGGAAGTATATTGGTCACTTTTATCTTCACCCGATCTTCCTCCAGGTTCAGTGTGTTCGGCCTTTTAGTTGGCCAGGTCGCATGCAACTCCCATGCATGCAAAGGTGAGCCTTGCCGAGCCTGTGGACTGAGCTGTGCATTGCTAACAGGCAGGTAGAAGCTTTTTTTGTCATAAAAAAACCACTGCCTGCCAGCCATTTTTAAATAGAAGACTTCCACTTTAAGATTGACAAAAACTATGTAAAGTGAGGGTGTACTATCAGAATAGCAACTGAACAGACTGATTAAGTTGTAGGTAAATCTATAGTAAATAAAGTAGTTAATATATATTTGTTGGTAAATCTAAAAGGAAATTGTACACATTGTGACATGTGTAGACAGCTTTACATGGGATACCATCTGGTCCCACAGTCAGTTTCGTACATCTTTATTGCAAACACTTAAATGTAGTCCTCTCTTTCATGAAAATATAGGTTAACCACTCTGACCAGTTAACTGAATCATTATAAAATTTACCAGGTTGCATTCTGTTTGTGCAACTTCCTTTAAATCTACCAGCAACTATGTGGTGCAAGGGTCTACCTGGCTGGATACAAACAGAATTTGAGCTTAAGGTCACATTTAATACTTTTGGTAAATCTAAAAGATGGCACAGAGATTGTATAATCAGATTGTTATATGCATTGTAATATGCTTTAAAATAGTATTAAACCCTCAAGTAGTAAATAATGATTTCATGTACAGTAATACCTTGATTTACAAGTAACTTGGTTTGAGAGTGTTTTGCAAGACAAGCAAACATTTCTGAAAATTTTTGCCTTGATATACAAGCAATGTCTTGCAATAAGAGCAAATTTTTGTAGAAAAGCACCACCGAATAAGGCTGTAGCAGTGCGAGCGATCAGTCTGTTTAACGACAATGCAATGTCACATGTTTACGCTGGAATTAAGGAGATTAAGGGGGATATGATTTTCATGTACAAGATGTATAATGGTGACAGCAACATTGGCAACAAACTGTTTGAGATTAACTCCATTACAAAGAGGCCACCACCTAAAGTTGGTGGAGAAAAAATTCCAGCACAATGGGCAAAGAGGGTTCTTTACAGTAAGAGCGGTTAAGGTCTGGAACTCACTGCCATCGGCAGTGATTCCAGCCAAGAGTGTAGATTTGTTCAAGAAACGTTTGGACAATTTCTTGAGGGACCGTAATATCCAGGGATACCAGTATCCCTAAGAATAAGATGATGCGTGGACCTATATGGGTTGGACTTGATGGACGTATGTCTTTATTCAACCCCAAACACTATGTAACTATGTAACATTGGATAGATTCCTTGTTAAGTTTTCACGAAATGAAAAAGATTCCATTGAGTCAAGAGATAGCAGTGATTCCATTAGTGATAGTGAAAGTCGTCCTACACAATAATTCTCCTCTCTCTTGTCCCCCTCAAACCAGCCACGAAGGTACTGGTAATTGGCTTATTTTTCTTTATATTTTGTACAGTATTATATTACAGTACAGTATTGTAATCATTTTATATGAATATTTTTGGGTTGTGGAACGAATCATCTGAATTTCCATTATTCCCTATGTGGAAATTCGCTTTGATATACAAGCGCTTTGGATTACAAGCATGTTTCCGGAACGAATTATGCTCGTAAACCAAGGTACTACTGTATATCCATTTCCTCTCTTTTTAGATGTAATTTACTCTTATCAAACCCGCTTGTAAACTGTTTTTTTTAATTTGTTAAATCATCCCCCACTCTGTTCATCAGGTGCAGCACTCCCCGCAACTTCTGGTTGGGGAGCAGGCACGCATAGTCTCAAGAATGTGCTGAAGGCAAGACTACATGGCCCATTATTTTTTACTGTTGGCACAGCAATGTTTTTCTTTTAAAAACAGTTTTATTTGTACTGTATAATGGTTCTTCAATGACAGATAAAAAGTCAGCCATAGACACATGGGCAAGGTGGTGGGTGCATCTCATGTGCCCTGCTTCTCTAGTCACTCTCTGCTGCCAGTCTGGGCACAGATCACCTGCGCGACGTTGTGTAGCCCCAGTGGGGGAGTGTGCATGTTTTAGTGGCTCTATAGGGAGTCAACAATTACAAAAAAACAGTGCTAAAAAAGATGTAATGCTCAGGGAAAAAAAAAGAGACTTGTAGTAAAAGGACAACAGTGGGAAGAAAAAAATAGAGACAAGACAAATTGTAAGTAAGGCTATGTGATATTAAACCTATTTGAAAAAAGTGCATAACACTTTACGCTTGTGCAAGAATATTGTACTTGACATATTTTGCACTACTAAAGAGTATTTATGAAGTGAAACAAACACTCAGGATAACAAATCAATAGGAATATTTGATTGAAAACTCCTTTGGGAGCAGACAGTGATGCGATTCATTCAATGTTCTCCACAAAGTACAAATAGGAATAATATTAAAATGTTGATTATGTTTTATGTCACCCACTTTCAAGTGAGCCCATATTAAGGAAAGGTCACCTTATTGAAAGTACACTTCATAAAAGGTTTTCAAACTAGAAATTAGGGAATAAGTATATGGGTTGTTGTATTCAATCCACAGCAGGCATGCAAAAACATTGAATTACAAACTGTATTGGCTGGAAGACAGACATATTTATATATGAGCAACATAATGGAAATACTGGTCACAGCAAAAAATAAGTCATACACAGTATGAATTATGTTGCATACACAGATACAGTTCATGCCATTTTCATTGCCCAGTGCATGTTAGGTGGCAGCAGGCAAAGGTGATGCAATAAGCAGAGGAATTGCTACAACTTACATCCTCATCATGACACAGGGCCGCATAGTTATATCCCTGCTCGAAACATGAAAAAGAGTCAGAGTATAGAATAGCAGAGTAAAACAAAAACACACAAGTGCTAACAGAGTGTCCTACTGTCCATCAACATGACAAGGCTAGGAGAGACAGTCAATGAACATCATTTAGAACATTTTTCACATAAGGGACATGAGATTGGTAATTACTAAAAACAGAACTGCTGATGACAGTTACTGTAATTACAACTAGTCGAAGCCGAAATATCTACCTAGCAGTTAGATTGTCTACAATGCCATGATGCTTTTGACATTTTATAGGGCAGGTACAGGATCTAGTGAATCCTTGAAACCTGGGGTTTTACGGCCGACAACTTTTTTTCACAATTTAACAGCTTTTTTTTATGCAAGTAAGACCATGCCTGTAAGTTAAATAGGCAATATGTTTTATTACTATTGTGGTTCAGGCATTCAAAGCATCTCTTGATGGTTGGATTGTTTCCTGGTTCATAAATACAGAAAAGCTTCTAAGAGCTCATATTAAAAAACGGTTTCATGCAAACCCTCAACATCAGATATGCCCAGTCATCGCTCCAAATGTCACCAAATCTGGCAAGACTATCTATATTTTGCTAAAATAAAAAAAAATTGCTGACTTTTCAGTCAGTTTGTGCACCCATTGTTATCTGTGCAATCATTTTCTCAAACAGCACATTAGCAAGACCAACTACTTACAGAGATTGTATAAAAATAGCTAGAAGAGTGCAATGGAATAACAGTGCTTAAACAGATAATACATTATTTTTAGCCTATGAATAGCATGTGCTCTAGAAGGATACCCCCATGTTCCTGTAAAATAGGTCATTTGAAATATAAATGTTTAACGGGTTGGATTATGCTAAAAGATTATTCTCCAGTTCCAGTTTTTATTAAATGAAGATGTAAGAAATATATTGTAATTATGGAAACCGCTCAGCAAGGATATAGAAAATTATAGTGATTAACACTTACAAAATTAATAACTTTTCATAACAGCCACAGGGAAAGGAAGTATGCTGCTATAAATACATTTCATTAACTATTATATCTGCTAATGTAATGCCGTTAAATGAAAGCTGAAATAGGCTTGTATACACTCCTATGAGAGAACTATTACTTTAGCAGAGTCACTCCAGGTGTAAAGTAGATAATACCAATGATGCAAATAAACATATGGTAAATGTGCATTGAAGCTACCTGCTCCTACAAAACATATGCCGACTATAAGGCCTTATTCACACAGGGATGGTTATCTGGTAGAGTGTGAAGGGTCAGTTTTTAATGTGCCCAGTGCTGCGGGAAGAAGCATGCGGGCAGCTCATATAAAGTAACTCTATGGAGACACAGTAGCTGTGCAACCCTCACATGCTGCTATCTGCAGCTTTGAATTTTGACAGCCGCACCCAGACTTTGTACGGTCTAGTCACATTTTAGTAATCTGATTTGTTTTAGTTTTTTTTCTCTATTTTTAGTCGACTACATAGAATAAGATTTTAGTCGACTAAATCTACAGTAGATTTAAAAGTTAAAGTGTAATGCATTATTTAGGAATTTCCAAGCTCACTATATAATCCTGCAGTCAACATCTATTAACCAGTTATTAGATATGGTATTAAGGTTTGAACAAATAAAACAGGCTCAGATTTAAGTCCAAAGAGATTTATTCTGATTGAACCTCTTCCCAATTCTTTTCTCCTTAACATTTTAGTCTAGTTTTAGTCAGTTGATGAAAATGTCAATAGATTTTTCCTATAGTTTTAGTCACCATAAATTCGTTTTTATTTAGTTTAGTCTAGTTTTAGTCACTGAAAACATTTTTATTGACTAAAACTGTGACGAAAATTCTGAATCTACTGAATCAGCACTGATGCAGACATGATGGATCCAGATCTGTACACCATGTGTGTACAGCTGTTAAAGCTTGGAGCTGTGGAATGCTAATCGATGGTGCGGTAGTTCAATCAAATCCCCCCCCCCCCCCAAAAAAAAAAATTGAAATAATGGGCAAGTAGAGCCACTGCTCTACCTCCCTGTGAAAAGCGATCCATCGTGGATCCTTCTCAGAGGTGGTGGAGCCTGCCACTTGTCTAAACGAGGTTTACAATAAAGGTTTAAAAATAAGTCAAGGAAACTGATTGGTTGTCATAGGCATATAGAAATGTTAGCACAATCTTCACACAACAGTCCCATAATGGTCAAAGTCATCTCTGTAAACCATACTTTCAGGTTATGTATGTGCAATAAAACAACCTTATAAAATCATGTGCAGAATGTATAAACAATATTAAATTGTAACGGCTCATAAAGATTGAAATGACAAGATGCAAAAATTTAAAACAATGTAGTGCAGTAAAGGACACCGTAAATCACTAAGATTGTATCAATTAACTCAATCTAGACAGTCCAGACTATGAATCACACTATCATGTGAGTACAGTCTGTCCCCAGCTTTGATATGTAACATAATTTAATTACTTAATTTATGCATTGCGATACAAACCAGTGTCTTTGTTCTACCAACATAGCAAGGCAACAAAAATCAGATCTTGGACTGGTAAAGTTAAAAAAAAAAAAGCCTAACTCGTTCCTGGTATCTGAATCCTTGGCTGTAAATATTTTACACTTCTAAAATATTTTCACATTTATAGATTTAAAAAAATATGAAAATCACTTTTCTATTAAATCACTATTATAAAATACAATCGTTCAGCAAGCAAGAAAGCTGAAAACATAATATACTGTATGTCTAAGGAGGGATGCACCACTTTTTCCAGACCGAGTTCGAGTACTGATACTTTTTCTTGCCGGTACCATAACTAGATGGCTTTTTTTTTTTTTATTATTATCATCATGTGACAGTTTGTCTAAAACAGTACAGACTAATGGATTTTAGGGCAGTGGTGGAGTGCCAAGGCCCAGACACAGCTGCAACCCTGGAAGTACTGCCACTGACCGCAAGCTCTAGAGGAACTACAAATCCCAGCAATACAGAATTGCACCAGGTATAGGGAACTACAAATCACAGCAATGCATTATACAGCAAAGCAGAATACCATCAGCTATAGAGGACTACACATCTCAGCAATACATATTAATATGAAGCTACATACCCTGGTTCACTGGGGTGGTCGTCCTGATTTTAGGTGGGCCATGCCTGGTCTCACCAGTACTGTGCAGCGTCTGACCAGGGCTGGGCATGTTGTTGGGAGGGCTGTGCGGCGTCTCACCATGGCTCTGCGGTGTGTTAGGAGAGCTCTGCGACATCTCACCAGGGCTGGGCGGGGTCAGAGGCTGGCGGGGGGATCCAGAGGAAGGAGGAGGAGATGTGTGGCCAACGTTGTAAGCAGCGTCTGAATTCATGCTGACACTGTCCTTCCTTCTGGAGGGTGGCTACTTTTGTTCCCCATGGTCCGTGTGTGTGTGTTGTAAAGGAGCCACTGCTTCAAGCTCGCTCCTGTGATGGACAGTAATGTTAATACAAATTAGTAAACTAAATGTGAGATTGTATTCAATCATGGGAGTGAGCTTGGAGTGGTGACTACTTTACAACAACACACTCAGGGACCAAAAGTAGCCACCTAACAGAAGGAAGGACAGTGTAAGCACAAATTTAGAGATGATTTAAAGGAGAACTATGGGGTAAGTGTTTTTCCCCATAGTTCTACTAAGTGTTACTGGAGGACACAAACTAGCGTCCTCCCCGTGACTCAAAGCTCAGTATATCGCGAGCTACAGCTCGTGGTATACTGAGACCGCCGCAGGCGGGACGGATCCCGACATTACTGTCGAGATCCACCTAGGTGCCTGATTGAAACCTGGCTCTGCCTATCTAGAGGCAGAACCAGCTGTACACGCCCCCTCCCCCATCCGTTCCGCAAGAGAGAGAGAGATCAAGAGAGAAAGAAGCACAATCTTCAGGTGGTAGATTGAGGTGAACTTTGGTGTCTGGATGCTGTTTTGTAGAGCTCAAGAGTGATTTAACCCTTTCGCTGCCGTAGCGCCTTTAACTTCAGCTGGGCACACCATTTTGCAATTTCCCCCCCTTTTGTTTTTTTAATTCTCAACTGCTGTTTTAGCATTTGTAAAAGACTCCCCAAACTATGCCTTTTTTTGAAAGCACAGGCCCAGTAGAATAAAAAAAAATGGTGCAAATAATTTTGTAGGTCCTGTGATAATTGCGCAAATGTTCATCAAATCAATATTAAACCGATAAAAATACACAATTAAATTGATAAAAGCACACTAAAATTAGTATCAGTGCGCACAAAAACCACTTTTCTGACTAAATCTAAAAGATAAAACTATTGTTTAATAAATAAATATTTGTAACTTTTAAATTGCGCCTGATAGGAGAATTAAAGGGGTTCTAAACCCTCCGTTTTTATTGCCTATATCTACTGCTAGCAAGGCAAGAAGTTTAAAAAACAAAAAAAATGCTTTACCTAGGTTTAAACGTACCTAGTTATCGCTGCGCGCTCCCGCACCGAGAATCAGGAACTCCTCGTACGGCCGCAAAGGATCTTGGGGCGGGCGCATGCGCAGTTCCGATTCTCGTCCGGGAGACGAGCAGAGACGCAAGGTAAGTCTATGGACGCGTGCACCCACATGCAGACACCGCTGGATCGGAGGGACAGAGCAGCCAGCGCTGAATTGGAGAGCCGCCGCTCCGCTGGAGGGACAGATGAAAACATGAGGAAAGAAGAAGATCGGAATAAGAGACATCATTTAAGGTAAGTGCTAACATTAACATGGGGGGGAGGGAAAACATTTTTTGACTTTAATGTCACTTTAATCTTATTTTCGTATTCCTGGTTTGTATATAGTTAACATTTTGAGCAAGTAAAACTGTGCTTTTTAGAAGGTTCTGAATAAACTGGCCTTGAGCCGCTTTCACTTGTTCGCAGCGGCATTCTTGTATCATTAAAACTGTCTTCTTATCTCCTTTTCTGCAACCACCTGTGTTTTATGACCCATAGTAGCATATATTAATTTATATACACGTGCATGATTTTTAT